CATCCTCAGATGGTAGAATATTAGTTATAATGTTTAGAAAATAAAGCTTACCTTTCTGTGGAAGCTGTTTGGCCACCAGTGTCGTCGTCCAATGTGATTCCAATTGGATATCCGAAATAGCTTCTCCTTGAAGGCTTTAAGCCTGTTTAAAATCGTCCACATGGGTGAGCAAAAAGCACCAGGAAATAAAACTTATGATCATGTAAGGTTGTTATTTTGCCCTCATAAGAAGAGGTCTTTAAGGCAAATACAGATATATACAGATCAAAACTAGTCTTAGAAAAGATATAGAAAGGGCAGTACTAATTTCCATAAAAACAATAAAAAAATCTTAAAACCTGGATATGTTCTAGATAACTGACCCATTGACCCCACTGAGCTGTGCCATTTCTAATAAGCGCAACAGACAAACATTGACCCAGAATCACACCTGGAACTTATTAAAGGCTGGAAAAATAGTGTGGCACCTCTGCATCGCACTGATGGCACAGTTACCCAAATATTTTTAAGAGTGTTACCAGAGGAGGAAATAGATTTTTAATGTTGATTGAGAAACTTTTATTCAGAATTAGGGTTTCTTAATTATATATTGAAGAACACATTGGAGAAACAACCAATTGTTGTTAAAGTTCATACATTTATGTCCACAATAAGTATATGTCAACTTTTAATCATCACTGATGTCTGCACAGAATAATAATGGTAAGCAAATGTACCATGATTTGATTAATCATTGCTACTGCTTGATCAAAATGATCCAGGTTTTAAATGAATGGGACAGTAATCTTGTGTGAGCGAATCATTCTGGAAATCATACAGATTACCCAGAAGTTCTGCATTGATTAAAGATGACAGGGGTTCTGCATGCTAACTTATTCCTTAGTATGAGCTGATCTACTCAACAGGAGGCCAAGTCATACGAGGATATTAAAAAACAGCTGAATGATGCAGCATCTTTCTCTGAGATCACTGTAGTAAGTGATTGACTGATCAAAATCCTGATTCTAATCAACTGTTTTTAATAATATTGCTGATCCAGCATCAGATTATAATGTCTCTCATTTGGAAGTTGGATGTTTTTTTTATGTTTGAAGGAGATAAGTGCTGGCAACTTGATGAAAGGTCTGGATGTGACAGACAACGGGGGCTACAGTGCTCCTGGAGGGCCTACAAGTCCATTTCCAATGTACAGGACCCATGGTGGGGTTGTGTCGCCCACATCGCCCAAGTCCCCCAAGTCCCCCTTTCCCACCAGCCATTTAAAAGTCTCCTACTCCTCAGCTGGTGGCAGTGGCATAATTGTGGACCCTAAGCACCTCATCAACGTACCTGTCGATAATCTTCCTGAGGGAGTGGACCCCAGCCACCGAGAGGTGGGTATGACTTTAGCGAAAGGAGCAAGAAATCTTTTATATAATAATTTTTTATTCTTGGGTAAAGGTTTGAGTATAAATGGATTCCTTAGACAGCTGTAATATCTCATTTAACGTTCATTTAATAGTGAGCTAAATCTCAGAATATGAATCCTATATATATATACCGGTATATATATATATATATATATATATATACCGGTATATATATATA